TTTGCAAATCATCTTATTTACATAGTCAAACTAAGGGTACATACACTTCATTTTTACTTATTTCTAGATCGTTTTTGCAGTGTATGCTCAATGCATTGGTGTTACTGGAACCATCACTAATAAACAGTTGTAACGATGGAAGCCAGCTCATAAATGCACAAAAAACATGAAGTTCAGGAATAAATATTACAGAGAATTTCTACTTCAAACAGAAAATAGAAAGGGCCACCTTTAAAAGAAGACAATCATGTCTGTAACCAAAATATAAAGAAAAGGAATATTATGATGAAAATAGAAGAGTTTATAGAATGACTTCTGAAGTTCAACTGAAGAAACTAAATTACTTCCCTCATCATCAGAGGGTCATCTGCCTCTGACACAAACCAATCAGATTTGAACTGCACCTCCAAGAAGCCCAATCAGCATCCAGAGTTTATCTTAAAAGGTCTCCAAATCCACGACTCCACCTGCTATGGCTTTGATAGTTAGATCTTTGTGCGTTCCAGCCTCTGATCTCTATTCATTCACTGGATCACTGAGTGCCTGTTGGTAATACGGGTTGAAGTGAAGCTACTGGCCGCCATATTGGTACTCCCTAGTTGGACTGGTCCCAATATAAACAATCCATGCGCTACAGCATCGACCAACAATGATTTTTCTCATTTTCAGGGGGACTTAAGACTTTTTAAATTAAGATAAATTCATCACTTTGACACACACTGGCTGTTTCATAGCATCAGTAGATTACTTTAACTTATAATTAAAAAAAGGCACTTCACACTGCATAGTCAGTATGAAGTCAAAGAAGTCTATAAATTATATAATATAACATATTATACAAACCCAACACAATGAAATGAATGTGTTAATGGAAAATAGTGATACAGATGTGCCAAAAGTGCTAAATTCATGATGTACATGTAATATACATGGATTTATTGAAAAAATGTTTGTGTATCTTGCAATCTATAATTATGGATGTATATTCCCGTGCGATGTGATGCATCTTGATCTTGATGTAACTGGAACATATATACATGCAGAACAAACACTACAGGAATGACGATCTCATCCACTTAATAAAGAATTCCTACATTTACATTCACAGTGAATTACTTTCTATTTACTGTACTTTCTGTTTTCTAACGTTAGACACAATGTCGATGGCTAACTCAGAAAATGTCTTCAAATCGGTCCCAGATAGCCAGACTAATGTTACTCTACATCGGTGGTCTCCAACCCTGGTCCTCAAGATCTACTATCCTACAGATTTTAGATGCATCCTTGCTTCAACACAGCTGAATCAAATGATTGATTACCTTTTCAAGCCATTCATTTGATTCAGGTGTGTTGAAGCAGGGATGCATCTAAAATCTGTAGGACAGTAGATCTTGAGGACCAGGGTTGGAGACCACTGCTCTACATACTATACTAAAGGATCCATCGGTGTATGAAGGAATTTTCTTGGTTAATTCATCCACTGACTGGGAAATTACCTGTGAAACATCTTTCTACAGCCAGAAATCTGCTTGTTTTAGCAGCCAAATGCTACACAGGTAGGCATTTTGACTATGCGTCTCCATGGGAGTGGGAAGAACCAATATGGCAGCAGGTGGCTTCACTTTTTCGGGCAATCAGCAATCCATTTAATGAATAGAGATCAGTGGTTCCAGCTAGGGTGACCAGATTTCTTCTTTTTCCAGGACATGTCCTACTTTTCATACCTAAAAAGTTGTATCTCACCCATTTTATCACAAATGGGTGAGAGAATTAGGCCTCTGCTTCACGTCATA